CCAAAAACTTTTATAAGATTTTGCAACTCTTAAAATTTCAAATTTTTTTCTTTTGCTTGGCACCCATATTTTTATTCTACATTGCCCTGAATTAAAAAAAAAAAAATTGGAATTAATCATATTTTTGCAGTTTCAAAGTGCTTTAAAAAATTCTGACGCTAGAGAGAAAAACTAAAAAATTATTATATTCTGCCCATATTTTCGCGAATACATTCGTTTTTTTTTGGTGTAAAAGTTACTGTCGCACGGTGTAATAAAAGAAAAGTTCTGTCCAAAATTCATTCAAATCAAAAAATGGGCTATTCCAAACACTAGTCGATTTGACATGGATTGACCCATATGCAATATATGTACATACATACATATGTATTTAAATGTATGTAGGCTTGAAATTCTAATGGGCACACGAGTTATTTGCTGCCTGGTTATGCTTATAAAAAAAACTTACGTACTTTAAGAATGTGCACATGTATTTTATTGCCTTATGCTGGAGCTTTACGTTTCATACATTCCAACATACACACATATGTATGTACATATGTTTGTATAAAAAAATTATATTTTTATGTTTTTCTGTCTAAAGATCCTGCTTTGATTCCAAACCTTCTATTTATATGTACTTGTACAATTTTAAAGCATTCGCGTCGCTCCAGCCGTCATGATCATGAGAATTTAGTGTAGCATAAGTCATATATTGAGTTCAACTCTTATCAGCTAAACATTATGTGTGTACATTGTACATGTGTAGAACATACACTCAAACGCACAAAGCTAATTTTTAATGAGAACTTTTAGTGAAAGTCAATTTTGCTTTCGAAAAACTACATATTTTATAAGACTTATACATACTGCGCTGCTTGTAGTTAGGCTAGGTTCAAGTGACTCCCGGTATTACAATACACATTTGTAGGCCTAAAAATTGGACCTTTTTTTATATACCACAGAGATACAAATGATCGTTGGTGTGCCAACAGAACTTATGTCAAGTTAGAACTGGAAATTATTTAGGCAACTAAAACCACTTCCAAAGACAAAGATGAACAAAATCCACTCAAATATTAATCCCTGCTTGCCCACTGAAACAATGGATGCACCCTTTTTTTACGCTTTCTCTAAATTTTACATTGACAGAGAAAGGATAAAAGTTCATTGTGCCTCACCACTGGCACTTCGCTATAGTAAAGGGTATTGGTGAAAGTTATTTTTATCGAAAGCTTTTTGAGGGAAAGCTTGCGGATGCTTAGGAAGGAAAATTTCTGCAAAAAGTATTAATTGCTTCAACACAATCAAGAGTGCTTAAATTACAACTTTCAAGTTTTGTCAAATGCGAAAGCGCCAATGAAAGTTATTGCAATTTTAGGTATATTTAATTGGTTTTCTTTGTAAAATGTGTGCAACTCAAAGCTCTCCCTCGCGATTCTAAGCATCTCAAAATCGCGTTTTACTACTAACATTTTTCAGCGAAAAAAAAAAATAATTATAATCAATGCTAAAAAGTTCATGTTGCTTAGAAAATGCGGCCAACTGGCATAATGCATTATTTTTTTTTCTAATTTGTGTGTTGATAAAAATTGTCAACTATAAAAAATGGGCCTAACTTCTGGCACATTATTTAATGCTTTGTTTTATCACCAAGAGGCTGCATGTATGTATGTATGTATGTATGTGTGAATGTGATTGCCTTTCTTCATATGTATGCGTTTTTTTTTCTTCAATTCCATATGTATGGGTTTCTCGTGTTTGCGCATTCAAACAAAGTTTCCATTTTATAACTTTAGTCTGACTGCGTTGCTCGTCGGGCTCGGTTCGCCCAAAAAGATTTTTTTTTTCGAAAATTAATGAACGGTTTATGCTCTTATTAAACAAACATTGTGTGGATTACAACAATAAACCTAAGAGATAAGCGGAGAATTGTAGTGTGTGTAAGTGTGACAGGACAGATAGTTTGAAGAAAAAACGCGTTTTGTAATGAAAATTGGGTTACGAGTACAGCGAGGTGAATGAGAATGGTGTTTTGGAAAAAAACAGAAACTTTTTTTAAGGAAAATGTGGAAAATAAGCTACCAATACTGAAGGAGTAAGCTCCTGGTGAAAAAAAAATTTTAAATTGTGTCAAAAAAAAAATAAAAAGTGCCGTTATTGAGAACAATATTTTTATGAAAATATAACGTGCAAAAATCGAAAGACAAAATAAAATAAGTATTTTTTAAGCAAAAAAAAAACAAAACAGACTACAATTCTCTTATAAAAATTTAAGAATACCGCTAATTTCTTCATGATCCAATGATCGGATCTAAATCAAATTATTATGGAACCACCTCGGAGTGGTACACATTTCCTTTCAAAAATTTAGTAATCGGTTAATGTGGCCCAAAGTTATGCGGTGCGATAACCTCCTTCTTTTTTGAAGTCGATTAAAAATGAAATATAATACAATAGCGAAAGTTAAATTTGGCAAAATAAAAAAAAGAAATAGAAAGGCAATGAAATTAGACAAAAAACAAACTAAACTTATATAAATTTATGTGAAGAAAATTATATACAAATTTTAATAAAATTTTATAAAATTAAATTAAATTCCTTAAACCGCAACACGATAAAATGGAGTAGATTAGATTAGATTTAGAGGAGGAAGCAAGTCACCTAGTTACCGCGACCGAAACGATCTATTGTTACAAACCTCTATTCAACTACAGGTCATCTCTGATCCACGTACTATTAAGAAACCTCGCGAGGTCCTTTGGCTGAATGCCATTTAGGTCGTGTGCTTCTAGGTACGGTGATCCTAGGAAGCGAAGTCTGGTCCTGGTAAGGGCTTCACAGTGGCACATGATGTGCTCTGCTGTTTCCTGTTTTTCGTTACACAACCTGCACTGGTCAGAGTTGACGACTCCCATATTTGTAAAATGGAGTAAAAAAATAATAATATAAAAAAAAATAGAACACCAAAATAAAAGACGAAGAAATAAAATAAAATTTAATTGAATGGAATTGAAATAAAAAAAAATATATAAAAAATTAAACTATAAATAAAATTAATTTAAAAAAACTAAATTAAATAAATGGAAAAATTTAAACAGCAGCAAAAAAATTATACAATAATAAAAACATAAATCAAAAGAAAAAAAACAATAAAAATAGAAATAAAATAAAATATAATAAGGCAAAATAAAATTTTACAAGGATAAGTAGAGTAAATTATATGCAAAATTAAATAATATAAATTAAAATAATATAAAATAAAATACAACAGAATGAAATAAAATAGAAATAAATTAAATAAAAGCATAAAACAAAATAGAACACCAAAATTAAACAAGCAGAAATCAAATTAAATTAAATTAAATAAAAGATATAAAAAACCAAAAATATTAAATTAAATTAACAATTTGAATTGAAATTGAATAAAATTTGAAAAACAATGAGCAGAACAGTACAATAAATAAATAACACCTCATAATAAAAAGTTATATAAAATAAAACAAAGTACATAAAATAAAATATAATGAAATAAATTAAAATAAATATAAAACTAAAATAAAATAAAATAAAATAAATTAAAATAAAATAAAATTAAATTAAATTAAATTAAATTAAATTAAATTAAAATGAATTAAATAACAAAATGGACTGAAATTAACTGAAATGAAATAAAACAAAATAACATAATAAAACATAAAATAAAACTAAAAATAAAAATTAACATAGAAATTAAATAAAGAAAATAAATATATAGAAATAAGGTAACATTAAATTAAGTACTTCCGAGAATATCTTCATAGAATGGGCAGGGTAGACTCACCGTTCTATCACCACTCTGGAAACGTCGAAGAAAACGTACACCATACATTCTTCACTTGCAAGCACTTCTTGCCTTCGCGCACTTCTTGCCTTCGCGCACAATGTTGGAAGAAAGATACGAAGACATAGCCCCNAGAATATCTTCATAGAATGGGCAGGGTAGACTCACCGTTCTATCACCACTCTGGAAACGTCGAAGAAAACGTACACCATACATTCTTCACTTGCAAGCACTTCTTGCCTTCGCGCACTTCTTGCCTTCGCGCACAATGTTGGAAGAAAGATACGAAGACATAGCCCCAACAACGTAATTGGGGTAATGATCTCCAGTGCAGACAAGTGGGAAGCAGTTGCGAGATACGTGAAATTCGTACTCCGCTCCAAACGAGAAGACGGATGTCTACTGAGGACACCCGAATGAAACGCCCCTACAAAAGAGCAGGCTTGAGACTCAATTAGCGTGCTCCTGCACCTGAAGACATGCAGAATTGCGGTGCCAGATGCGCGATTCCTGCGCGGGCGGTGGGAGTTTGGGTTTTAGTGGGTAGCCCAACACTCTTCGCTGGGAATCCCACACTCGGGGAAGGTAGTATAGAGACTAGCGCCCCCAGCCAGTGCGTAAAACATTTCCCTCTCCTACGAAAACATAAAAAAAAATTAAGTATTCAAGATAAAATAATTTAAAGTAAACTATAGTACAAAAAACTAAAATTTGTAAGTTTTAAAATTAAATCCTTGTGTTCGTATGTAATATTGTCTTATAAATAAATAATAATAAGCAAATATGAGTTTTCCATGAAGATGCATACTAATTATAAATGCAAAATTTCTGCTAGACTCAATGAAAATGTCACTAAGAGTGTCCGTTAAATTGTCGCATATAAAATTGGGAAGGTCCGAAATGCGAGAAGAAATATGAAGATGAATATAAAGACAGACGAATGCGTATGCATATAAAGACAGCGACTAAACCGAAGACGAAAAAATCTTCCGGACCCTAAGAATAAATAAATTCGATTTTCAAGGGCCACTAAAAATAATACTTAACCTTGAGAGAAGAAAAAACTGCAAAAAAATTTAAAATTATTTAAAAAAAACAACAACAACGCCAATATCCACAATATTTTTTGATTCACTATTTTTTGTGTATATTCATCCAATCCAAAGAAATAAATCTAAAGCTTGCTTATCTCTTACAGATCTTACCCTGGAACTTTAAGCACTGCCAAAAATTCACTACCAAACTTCACAGCAATTCAGGTAAATTACAAAAATATTAATCTAACTCTTCTAAGCTAATCTCCACTGTCTCTCATTACCGCAGGTGGAGTTTGAACAACAATGCATTTGCACACACGCAATGCAGGAAGAACTATTTCATAATCAGCAACGAAGAACGAAGAAGAGGTCACCGCGATAGAGTTTTTTTTTCACATATACAAGAGGAAGTTAATACGCACACAACTACGCTTTTCTGAGATTACAATAGGCTAGTAATCTTATGGAATAAGTTTCAAAAAAAAACCAAAACAACAACGAACAGCACTGAAGAACAGCAATACAGCATACTAAAAGTAAAGCTTGTGTACTGATTTTAAATCGCGCCTGGTTACAACCGGAAATTGCAGAAACTACAACGACACACACACAAACACGCCGGCACACATTTAGCTCACATTCACATATAATCACTACTAAAGAATTATTGGAAAAATAAATCTTCTATAAAACTATACAAAGGCACAGAACTGTTCGACGATCTTCGTCGCCGATTGTGGTGTCCACATAAACACACACGCTACCATAACCACCACCACCACCACCGCCATAGCAAACATAATCACCGCCATAATTTCACTCCAATAATGTCGCCGCAACAACGCGGCAGCGCCTATGCTAGCCGCCTCTACAACAAGAGCAACAACAACAGAAACATCAACGCGCTTATCGCCTTTTGCTGCTTGGTACTGCTGAGTAGCTGTGCGTTGCTGACACAGGCGCAACGCCTCACTGGACGACGCGATCGGCCACTAAATACGCCCAGAGAGTACAAGAAGACACATCCATGCGAACGCTCCTCCTGCTATCCGGCCACGGGTAATTTACTCATCGGACGTGAGAATCGCTTGACCGCCTCATCGACGTGCGGCATACATGCGCCAGAACGTTTCTGTATATTGTCGCATTTGCAGGATAAAAAGTGTTTCCTTTGCGATACGCGCGAAGAGACGCGCAATGATCCCTACAAGAATCATCGCATTGGACAAATTATCTATAAAACGAAACCGGGTACGAATTTGCCCACTTGGTGGCAATCGGAGAATGGCAAGGAGAATGTGACCATACAATTGGATTTGGAGGCGGAGTTTCATTTCACCCATTTGATCATCTCGTTCACCACATTTCGGCCGGCGGCCATGTTGATTGAGCGTTCATTTGATTTTGGTCAAACTTGGCATGTCTATCGCTACTTCGCTTACGATTGTGCCGAATCGTTCCCCGGCGTACCGACTGTGTTGCGCAATATCACCGATGTTATGTGTACGTCGCGTTATTCGAATGTGGAGCCCTCGCGCAACGGTGAGGTCATCTTTCGTGTGCTGCCGCCGAACATTAACGTCTCCGATCCGTATGCCACGCATGTGCAAAATATGCTAAAGATGACCAATCTGCGTATTAATTTCACGAAGTTGCACAAATTGGGTGACAATTTGTTGGATAATCGATTGGAGATGGAGGAGAAATATTACTATGGCATTAGCAATATGGTTGTGCGCGGCTCGTGCTCTTGCTATGGCCACGCCTCACAATGTCTGCCACTGGACGGCACTGAGTCGCCGGAATACGATATGGTGCATGGACGCTGCCAGTGTACGCACAACACCAAGGGTTTGAATTGCGAAACTTGCGAGGACTTCTTCAACGATCTGCCCTGGAAGCCGGCGTTCGGCAAGCAGACTAATGCCTGCAAGAAGTGCGAGTGTAACGATCACGCTGTGAGCTGTCACTTCGATGAGAATGTCTTCGAGCAATCCGGCCGCATTTCGGGTGGTGTGTGCGACAATTGCATGCACAATACACAGGGTCAGCACTGCGAGGAGTGTATGCCTTTCTTCTATCGCGATCCCGAGCAGGACATACGCAGCCCGGAGGTGTGCAAGCCTTGCAATTGCGATTTGAATGGTTCGGTGGATGAAGGCATTTGCGATTCAGTGAACGATCCCGAAAATGGCATCGAGGCTGGCGCTTGTCACTGCAAGTCGAATGTGAAGGGACGCCGTTGCGATGTGTGCAAGGATGGATTCTGGAATTTGATACCCGAAAACCCAGCTGGTTGTGAACAATGCACGTGCAACACGCTCGGCACCATCGACAATTCGGGCTGCAACATGTACACCGGTGAGTGTACTTGTAAGCGCTTGGTTACCGGCAAGGACTGCAATCAATGCGCGCCACAAACGTATGGTCTCTCTGAGTCGGAGGATGGCTGCACGCACTGCGGTTGCGATGTTGGCGGCTCATACGACAACTTCTGCGACGTTATAACGGGTCAGTGTCGCTGTCGCCCGCACATGACTGGACGCAATTGCTCTCAGCCGAAACAGAATTACTTCATACCACCGCTCTATGTGGTGCACGATGTAGAGACCGCGGATGTGTGCATATCTCGCGGCAATAACGGCAATTGCACTGTTGTGCCATATCCACCACTGCCCGACCGCACACCCGACTACACTGGTGTTGGATTCACGCGTGCGCCGGAAAATTCCGAATTCATTATAACCGTCGATGACATACCAAGCTCCATGCCGTACGATGTGGTGATACGCTACCAAACCACTTCGCGCGACGACTGGGAGGATGCTTACATAACGCTTGTGCGTTTGGACGAAGTAGACCCGGAGGGAGTGTGCGCACAGGCTGTGCAACCCGGTTCGAGTGTGTACGAGACGCATATACCCTTCAGTTTGCCCGAACGTGACCGTCAGGTAGTGGCGCTGCGCAATGTTTGCCTGGAAGCCAATAAGGTATACAAGTTCAAGATACATTTTGAACGCCGACGACACAACGAAGACAATCCCACCGCCACCATTCTGATCGACTCACTAACGCTTATACCACGCATCGAAGTTACTTCCGTCTTCTCGGGCTCGCCCGCTGCGGACTTGCGTCGCCGCGAATACATACAAATGGGCTGCAATCAGTCGCTTTATGACATACGCTACAGCAGTGTCGTGGACCCACGTTGCAATGAGTTGGCGGACTATGCAAGCACGGAAATTCACGATGGTGCCAGCCAGTGTAACTGCAACCCTACAGGCGCGCTTAGTAAGGAATGTGACCCACATGGTGGCTTCTGCCAATGTAAACCGAATGTGGTGGGACGTCAGTGTGATCAGTGCGCGCCAGGCACTTATGGCTTCGGCCCGGAAGGCTGTAAGGCTTGCGACTGCAACAGCATTGGTTCGAAGGATAACAACTGTGATCTGATCACGGGTCAGTGCGCCTGTCATCCTAACACATACGGACGTGAGTGCGATCAGTGCCAGCCGGGCTATTGGAACTTCCCCAACTGTCAGGCGTGCGAGTGTAATGGACATGCGCAGCAATGTGACGCACGCACTGGTCAATGTATCAACTGTTTGGACTTCACCAGCGGCTATGCGTGTGACAGCTGCTTGGAAGGCTACTACGGTAATCCCTTTTTGGGTAGTGAAATCGGTTGTCGCGCTTGTCGCTGCCCCGACACTGTGGCCAGCGGTAATACACATGCCGACGGCTGCTCGTTGGATGCGCGCAACAACAATATGATCTGTCACTGCAAGGAGGGCTACGATGGTGCACGTTGTGAGGTGTGCGCAGACAACTACTTCGGTGATGCCGAGACGCCAGGTGGCGCGTGCGAAAAATGCGACTGCAGCAACAACATCGATCTCTACGACACAGGCAATTGCGAACGACGCACAGGACAGTGCTTGAAGTGTATGTATGATACGACCGGTGATCATTGCGAGCTTTGTCGCGATGGCTTCTTTGGCGATGCGCTGCAACAAAATTGCGTGCCATGTGATTGCGATTACTTGGGCACTAACCAGACAATTGCGCATTGCGACCGGTTCACCGGTCAATGTCCCTGCTTACCCAACGTACATGGCATACGTTGCGATGAATGTGCGGCCAATCATTGGAAGATCGCTTCAGGCGAAGGCTGTGAGGCGTGCGAATGTGACCCGATTGGTTCATCGTCCGAACAATGTAACCGTTACACCGGGCAGTGTGAGTGCAAAGATGGCTTCGGTGGACGCGCGTGTAATCAATGTCAAGCCAATTACTGGGGCAATCCGAATAGGGAGTGCCAGCCTTGCGAGTGTGATCCCTACGGGTCGGCTGACTACCAGTGCGATCGCGAGACGGGACAGTGCGTGTGCCACGAAGGTATGGGCGGCTACAAGTGCAATGAATGTGCGCGCGGTTATCAAGGACGCTTCCCACATTGTGCGCCTTGTGGTGAATGCTTCAACAATTGGGATTTGATACTGCACGGACTGGAAGATGCCACGGCCGAGGCCATACAACGCGCCAAGGATATCAAATTGATTGGCGCAACCGGCGCATATACGGCGGAATTTAGTACTTTGGACAAGAAACTGCAAAATATACGCGATCTGCTGCAGAACACCACCGTTAGCTTGCAGGACATCGACGCGTTGGATAAGGAAGGCGCTGAGCTGAAGGAGAAACTGCAGGCTTCGCATACCAAATTAGTGGACACTGAAGACAATTTGGAGAATATTTATTCTTCGTTGAGTCTGTCCACTGTGGAGTTGGAAGCTTTGCGTAATCAATCTGAGCTCGTAAAGAAATTGTCAAAAGAGCTGAAAGAGAATGGCATACAGCTGCAAGAGTCCAACATCGAAGGTGCACTCAATTTGACGCGTAACGCCTTTGAGCGTGTGCTCGACCTGTCTTCAGTTAAGAATGAGGCCGAGGATTATGCTGCCAACACCGAGCGCAACTGCAAGCGCGTCGAAACGCTGGCAAACAAGATCAAGGATGAGCACGACACGATCACGGCCAACGATGGCATCATTGCTGACTACCGCAGTGAGCTGACGTCCCTTACCGCTATGATACCCGGCTTGAATAACGAAGTGTGCGACAAGAGCGGCGATCCATGCGACTCGTTGTGTGGCGGTGCTGGTTGTGGCTCCTGTGGTGGGCTATCTTGCGAGCAAGGCGCATTGACACGCACCGAGAAGGCGCTCAAAGTGGCCAAAGACACTGAGCAAATAATCAAAGACAAGAAAGATGCCGCCGATCAAACTATACGTTCGCTCTTCCAGGCCAAAGTCAACGCCTCCGAGGGTTATCTGAAGGCCAAGAGCGCTTTCGAAGATGCCGAACGTTACCTCAACCGCACCAATGACAAAATTAAGAAGGGCGAGGCGATGATTGAACAGCTCGGCAGCTTCCTTAACAATAACACTGCATTGCCGACGGAGAGTCGTGACCTAGCCCAGCAAACACTCAAGCTCGACCTCAAATTAGATCCCGAAGAGATACAAATGCTGGGTGGCAAAATCAATGACGCTGTTTCTTCACTCAAAAACGTTGAATTGATTATTTATAATACGCGTGGCGATCTGGCGCGCGTCAACAATCTGCAGGCAAAAGCGAATACGACCAAAGAAACAGCAAACGAAATACTAGATACTGCCAATTCGGTGGTGAAGAATCTGGACGATGCAGATGCTTCGCAACTGAAGGCCAAAGATGCCATATCACAAGCTAATGTCAATATTGAACTGGCGGCCAAGGATTTGGATCAAATCGATTTAGAGACGAGTGATGCTGAGGCGCCTGCCAATGCCACTGCACAGCAAGTGGAGGATCTGGCCAAGCAAGCCAGTCGCATAAGCAAGAATTTGCTGAAGAACGAATTAGATGCACAGGAAATCAAGAAGGAAGCAAATGCCGTAAAGGAGGCCGCACTCAAGGCGCGCGAATACTCCAATCAATTGCACTCCGCCACCAATTTGGTCAATCAAACGCTTAGCGATCGCGCGCGTAATTCGGAAAGTGCACGCGAACGTGCCAAGCAGCTATTGCAACGCGCTTCCAAACTGACAGTGGACACAAACGATAAGTTGGCCCAACTGCAGCTGATGCAAGAGATATACGCGGAAAAGAATAGCACTTTGCAAAAACTGCAAGACGATTTGAAGCCTTTAAACGAAGAGCTGACTTTGTCGCTGCAAAAGATACAGGAGCACGCCGATCGCTATCGACAATGTACGGGCTAAGGGCTAAGCGAGCGCGCGCAGTTAGTTGGTAGCAAAAGCAGTAATGTTGCACCTTAGCATTTATGTATACTTAAACAATAGCCTTTGATAACTGCAATAAGACAAAATGCCTATTAAGGCCCTTTGAAACAAGCACAAACCAAAAATGTTCACTCTAAAGCCAGTGCCAGTGTTTAAGTGCTCAGTATATCAGCTGCGGCTCGACAAAAAAAAAAAAAAATTTTTATGTAATTGTTTTTATCTTCTGCCTGTTCCATTTGTAACATGCTCAAATTTGTACTGTAAACCGTTTGGATGAAAAAAAAATATTAATTTTAGTTCAAAGTAAAGAAGGTCAAAAATCATAAATGAAAGCTAAACGTGTTTGTTGTAAGAAAATGTTATGTTTAAAATATTAAAAAAAAAAAAAAATTATTTTACTGTATGTTTTAGTTTATTTAAAGCCATCTCTATGAAATAGCAAACAATATGAAATATTTTAGCAATACGACTATCAAGCGTTTCTAGTAGAAATTGCTGTTCATTTATTTACATACATACACACATACATATGTATGTACACACATACAAACATATGCAACCAATAGAAAACGAATATTATCTCGAAAATATTAAGCAAAGCAACAAATACATACATATGTGCCTTAATAACATTAAAGAAAAACAATTTGAGATTGAATTCTCTACTAAAGATTTTGTTGTAATAACTATGTAAGTGTAATTTTTATATTAATGTATTGAGCCAATAAAAGTGTTGAAAAAAAATAAATTGAAATTTTATTTGTTATGCAAATGATTTGAAAGTGGGCAGTAATAAATGGACATCTTGACCATACGTCGTCCCAATTGATTGCATACCGTAATCAATGCAATCAGGGCGCCACTGCCCTGCCTGAGAAGTAATTTCATTAACACAATTCGCAGTTACCAGCGATGCATTGAGTTAGGTACTTTTTTATTTGAATTACCAGTCTAAATATTGAATGCCGTCATCTGAAATGCAAAAAAGCGTCACTAATCAAAAATTAAAAATTCACCTTTTGATTGATATTCAAAAAAAAAAAATTAGTTACGACTTTTTGGCATATCAGGTGGTGATACATAAATAGGTTAGGTAAGAAATTAAACATTGATTTCATTTCGTTTTTTTTTTCATTTTGTTGGAACCAATGCAGTTACAGAATATTTATAGAGAATTTCAGAATCGTCAAGAAATAGTTTTTAACTAGCCTGAAATTAACCCGAACTAGGCTCAAAATTATCCTAAAGTAGCTCTGAAGTGCTTCTGAAAATATCGTGCACTTGTCCCGAATGGATCTCGAACCAGTCTTGGAACGGTCCCGAAATGGACCCCTTACTAGTGCCAAAAATTTTCCGAACTAGTCCCGAAATACTCCGGCACAATTCACGAAATGGTTTGAAATAGTCCTGAACCAATCCCCAAATGAACCCGAACTAATCCTGAAATAGCCTCCAATGATGCAGAACTAAGCCCTGAGATGGCCCTGAAATAGTTCTGAATAGGACCCGAAATGGTTCACAAAGTCGTAAGCTTGGCCCGAAATGATCGTGAAGCGGTCTTGAAACGGTTTCCAAATATTCCCTTACTAGTCCCAAAATAGTCTTGAAGTCGTCCAAAATGGCTCTGAACTAAAGATGGGCATGGGCCGGGCTTTTGGCAGGGCAGGGCAGGGCTTTTGGTGGCCTTATTCTTGGCAACCCTTATTTACCTGACAGTTTCCGTTGTGTGTCCCTATAATCCGCTTCGATCCGCTTGGAAACTCCAAATAATCGCAATTTGCCAAATCATCAGCCAGTTCGCTGCCTTGAAGACAACAGTGATCTTTTCGCGAAAGACTGTCGCTTTGAAACAGAATAAACAGCTGGAATTGCCTTTCATCTATCTAGTTAGCTCCAGTTTAATTTATTTCATTTTCAGTCTTTTCCCCATATAAAACACATGAAAAGCTTCATGGACATTGAGGCAGTTCAAAACATCTATTTCTACAAAAAAAAAAAATAAAATAATAATCAAAAACTGGTATTCTTGTTTCCATTTAGAAACATCCTAGGGGGTGAGTGCTTAACATATTAGTCTTTCTTCCCCGCGTCTATTTTCGGACTATTGCGCAATGAACAGTATTGCCAAGTAAAATAAATAGAACGGATATTTATTTAATACGGTTGCTTTAGGAGGCAAAACAAAATAAAAAAAATACTAAATTTATTAACTGAAAATATTACATTAAGCTAGGCTCCAGCTAAAATCCTTTGCTCCTTAGCTCCTTTGCTCAGCTCCGCTCCGAAGCCCTGGTTGCGGCTTTCCTGAATCAGATTTCGATTTTCCGTCCGAGTCAAGATTTCTGTCTAAAATTACGTTTAATTCTGCTTAACATCGGTAAAGTGTTACATCCTACTCAAAGCGGACAGCTTATCCATCATACATTTGGGGCGGTCCGCAATCTTAAAAGGCTCACCTGGCTATCTCTCAGCAAATGGAATTGCAAACAAAGTTGTAAGATTTCTGCAAAGGCATTATCCATGGTCCACGATCGCTATCTGTATACCGCTCCCTCTCTTCCTGTCCTAAACTCAACCCTTTCACAATTAATTCGCTTTGGAATAATTGTTTACTTAGTACCTAGAGCCTAGAGGTTGCTAAACCGCTGTATTGATTTCGTTCTTAGCTACGTATTAACTCTAACTAGTTATATTCAAAGTCGGTTTTTATTAAGTAAGCCTAAAAGTATATCAGCATTCATATATTTTTTCCCCCCATTACAGTAGAGCAAACCGCAATAAAATGGTATCAAAATCATACGCACTGCCGCCGCAAGATATCACACCAATGAATGAAAGAGGCAAAGTTTATGTTAAATCAGAAAATGTGCAAATCGCTTTGAATTCCTTCATAAATGGTCATCGAAGTAGTTTACACAAACTTATGGAACAAAATAAAAAACTTGCACAACAAAATTCTAATTTAAATGCTCATTTGAGTGAGCTAGAGGGAACCATACTGGCGAAGAATGAAATGTGAGTAGAAGTTTTTTATAAAAAAAATCTATTTATGTAATTAAGTAGACATGATAATTAAAGGAGCGAATTTCGATAGAAACTTTCATCTACATTTTTTTGGGGAGTGGAGTTAGAACTAAGAAAACAAAGTGGCTAATCTCTTTTTCAGATTTGATTATTTTATTTTTTTTTTTAATTTTCAAAGAAAACTAGCCGCATCGCAGAATTTGTTTTTTTTCACGAAACCAAGAAATATGAAACTGCAAAATCTTTCTAGTCCAGCGCAGGCCCGATATGCCCATGAAACCATGCTTAGGCTGACATTTTTCGAAAAAATGTGGAAGAAGTGGTGTGGTGCTTATAGCAGGGCCAACTCCTCTCCAAACTATCATAACTCTTTAGTGAAACTGAGAGATAGGGAAAGTAGCTGATCCATTCTTAATGAGTAATAAAGAACTGCGCTACCAACCCGTTCTACTAGGCTTTTTCAAGAAGCACTTACTAAGTAATTTTGCAAGTGCTCAAGCTGCTCCAAGGACCTCTGTGTCTTTTGTATACCATGTTCTGGATCCACTTAACGGATTCGGCTTAAGCCAGGCAAATTATTTGATTTGGGCTAGATTTTATAAGCCGCAGTTCTACTCTGATCTGTTACTCTTAATTTCACAGCTCAAAATCACAGTATCCGTCCCTGAAATTATTCAAAATAAAAGCTTTAAGATATATTTAGTTCCATTTTTGTCTCTCTGCAACATCCGCTTATACTTCTTAATCCCAATGCCAGAAATTTGATTGCAGCCACTCAGCCACGGACTACATCCACTCGTACGACGTATTAAACTGCAGGAGCTTCTAGGATCTGAAGAAAGTTCGTCCTCAATTATCTTCTCCAGCAGCGATCTGTAAGCGCCGTCGCTGTCCGAGGATAAAAATCTCTCCACCAACGCCTTATCAAGAAGATGTCTAATACTCATGATCGATCACGATTTCTAAAGTGGGCCATCAGTTCATTGTCATTGTCTGACAAGACGGCCTCTAGCACATTGCTCATGGGAGCTTCTTCGATCTCAGCCTCTCCATGTACCACTTCTGACTTCCATGACTCAATTTTGAACCCATAGACTAAACGAACTGAGTGTCGGCGAGATGCCCAACAGACTCTGTATTTATCAATATTAGCGCTTTCCGATAAGGTCCCTCTGCACCGATTATTTTCCAGTTATGGGCTTCAAGGTCCCATTTGCAGTATGGACAATTTTTTTCGATTTCCTTTGGTGAAAAGAGTGCCGAAGGAGGCGACACCTGAGCTCGCGAATGCAAGTTGACACCTTTTCAACCAGAGCTATCCCAGCCTTTTGCAAGAGAGACTACCATTCGTTCACAACGCTCTTCAACATTCTGCGATGCCATCAGACACTCTCGCACGGCGCGGTGGTGGGTTTCGCTTTCCCTGTCCCACTCTCATAAACGTGTGTAGTACGCAGCTCCTTTCCACTCCCCCCTTGAGATGTCGCCGTCCTCTCTGCCGCGATCCATGTTGCCTAGTACGAAGGAGGTCGCCTACTTAGCGATTTCCCTAAAAAATTTAGGCGCACCTCCCGGCCTGAGCTGGAAAGAGACCCTGTTCGATACGGTGCGTGTTTCGTGTCTGCGAGGCGACGCTTATCACCCGCCTGGATCACTTAATCGTCCCAGTAAGCTTCTCAAATAACTTATCAGCGTACTGACTGCCGTAGCGCGTTGACATTTCGGTAGCCTGGCGGCGATCAGAATGGAACTTTTTCCAGGAGTAGCGCCCCGTTTAGGCCTAGCGTTAGAAGCCCACATAACTCGAGGAGTTAGTCGTTTACTGATGTTGGCAGTACCGCCCATAGGGGTAAGAGAATCTGAAATTTTCGTTCAAATGGCATCTGTTAATACCTTTTACATTAAAAAATGTTTGATAAAATCTTCTGAAGGCTATACAGGAACTCAATTACGATCTGAAGTAACCATAAACCATTCCTTCTAATATATAGAATAACCGCCGGTGAAAAAGAAATTGCCAAGTATAAGGAAGAGCAAGCTCGGTTGATGGAAAATAAAAATTTGCTACGCTCGGAATTGATGGCATGCAAACAACGTCATGCTGAGTTGATGGCCAACAACGAAAAAGAAAGCAATGAGCTACAGCAAAAGATTGATAAACTACAAAAAGGGTTTAATGAGCGTGATGACAAGGAGACAGACCTGAAAAATGAGGTAAGAATATTTAACAAATGACCAAGTTAAATAAAAGCTTGTAAAAATGGAAGCAGGCAGTAAAAACTTCCACATAATAATAAATTTTATTTGCAGCTTGATGTGATTCGTCAAGAATTGCAAGCCAAGCAAGATGAATGTGACAAAAGCAATGAAGAGCTTTCGAACGTGAAAGCGGAAGTGAACAATAGCAAGCAACAGCTCGCGGAACTTGAGGTTTGTTTTTTTTTTATAGGAAGTGCATTAAAGTGATTTATATATTAAGTAAAAATTTCGCAAAGATTTATTTTAAAAGAGTTTTAAGTAATTTACCAGATTGATCCTCAGTTTCATCAATCAATTTTAAAATTGTGTAATTTTTTATTTTAACCGGCTAATAAATTTAAAACTGATTGGGCATGAGATTGGATTGTTGTTTTTTTTTGTTAAACTGATTTGAATCAAGTCAATACATACAAATATTATTGTTCTTTCTTTTTTTTACAAATTCCGCTAACCAGAATTCCATCGTAAATCTAAAGGAAGAACTAAAACAAAGAGACGAAACAATTATTGAAATGCGTCAGGAACAGGTTGTTTATAAAGCCGAAACGGAGGTGAAGAAGTTTTTATATTGGATTTATTTATTATTAGGACTGTTTTGTATTCATTTTTCATTTTATTTTTTATTTTTATTTTACCTTGCAGAAAAACATCATTAGAATGCAAGAAGTCCAGCGTATTTTCTATCCAAATGCAGCCAATGCCTTGCCGCAGCCACGTCAAAACGATTTAATGCGCTCAACGGTTGGTATAAAATTATTTACTTATCTATGTACATATCGTCGTTTGAAGTACAAGACCTCGTATCGCAGATTTGCTCACACACTCTTGCTCTTGACTCAATCCTTATCCATTCGTCCTGAAATATACAAGCCAGAAATGTGATTGTTTTGATAAAAANTAAAATTATTTACTTATCTATGTACATATCGTCGTTTGAAGTACAAGACCACGTATCGCAGATTTGTTCACACAAGCTCTTGACTCAATCCTTATCCATTCGTCCTGAAATATACTAGCCAGAAATGTGATTGTTTTGATAAAACGAGAACCATTTTGAAATATGAATATTTTTACTCTCTAGAAAATGATTTATGCAACCTCACATACGCGGTTTTGCATTCTCTTGATACACGGTTTTGTACTTTAAACGACGATATGTATATGTTATGGGACACCATTGGAAAGATACTGAATCAGGCTTTCTCTATTCAAAGCGAAAATACGAGAATTTGTTTCGGTCGATATCAAATGTAAATGAAAATTACTCGAAGAAAATGAAATTTCTAGTAGGCCTGAAAAAACATAAATTTTATCAAAACCTGCACTTTCCAGCAGCCAAAATTAGGTTGTTTAAAGTCTAAGAGGAGTGGCAAATAAATTGAGATACAAACGAATAGTGGCGGATAACGAGTTTGCCGGTCTAATGAAATTAATAAATTGCTTTAACATGAAACGCTCAGTCCTAGTTTATTACAATCCTAAAAATGTATATTCATTAAAAAAAACATACCTTAAAAAAAACTAGACCAAAATGGTATTTTAGCAATTGTTGCATAAATCACATTCATGAGCCCAGGCCCTGCGGAGTGGTAGCGCGCGCTGCTAACCACTACACCAAAGGGCCGCCTTAACCTTAGCCTAATCGTATCTTAATACTACTCGTTAATTTTAGTCTGAGTCTTAACCTTAATCTTCAGCTTATGGTCTGATTATGGCAACTTACCGTAACTTACGGCTCTCTCTTGAAAATTCTGTTAAATGGGTGTTGCTTATACATAATTTAACAGCCGAAACTTAACGTTACTTAATGCCATGTCGAAATCTGTTTCATTTTGATTCTCTTAGTTCTACGTTCCGTTAAGTTAATTTAAGTTAAATTGCCATAATCAGGCTTTTAAACATGCTTGACCACATCCACCATCCAACCCCTTCAGTTACATTTCGTTTCACTTAAAAAAAAAAACTGATGAATATAAAATGCAATTTTAATTTTATTAATGTAATCCCACATTTTTACTTAGTGCTAAATAACAAAAATTTTATTGACAGAATTGGGCATTAAGTCATTCAAGTCGTTCTCACTTAACATATTTTAAGTGACACAAATTGATCGTCTTTTTGGTGAAATTTTATAAGAAAAAAGTACTGCACATTAAAATATTCAAGTTCTTTGTGGTTTTGTGAAAATATTTCATCATAAATAATTCTAAATTCTGCTCTTATCTTAAACCCACAGCTAGCCGCCAGCGTCAGCGTCAGCGTAAAGCCTCGTCCTCAAAGTAGAGTCGCATTGAAGCGAAGCGCTTCCATCACTTCGGTGTCCGATTCGGATGATGCAGATGATACACTATTGCGTGGATGGCAGCCGCAGAGAAATGTAATACATTTTGATAATTCGCTCTATTTTATAAATTACATACATACATATTTAGTTTTTCATGATCATCATCAATGAATGCAAAAGGTGTCCAACATATGCATACATATCAAGGAAGCCAACTCGTGGGGAATTCCCCGATTTGCGGGGAATTTGAGTTTACGTGGGGAATCGGGGAATTGACCGTTTTTTTTTGTGAGGAGGTGTTAGGTGTTAACTAATTCACTCCTTTTATACCCGAGCGCACTTGTGCACAAGGGTATTATAACTTTGTTCACATAACGGTTGTTTGTAACAGGCAAAACGAATCGAGATAGATATAGACAAATGTATACATAAATGATCAGAATGAAAAGAGAAATCGATTAAGCGGTGACTGTCTGTCCGTCCGTCCGTCCGTCCGTCTGTGCACACGATACCTCGAGTAAAAATTGAGATATCTTAACGAAACTTGGTACGTGGACTTCTTTTGGGCATAGGACGGACGGTATTGAAAATGGGCGAAATCGGACAATAACCACGCCCACATCCCATATAACGGTAATTTTCAGAAATACGAAAACTGCGATATTTTAGTAACTACTGGAGATTATTCGCTCAAAATTGATATTTACAATAATTTTTCGACGAAAAATAAGAATATTATACATTTTTGGAAAATGGGCGTAGCCACGCCCACTTATGGTTACATGTGTATATCTTGGCAACCACTGCACCGATTTCATCCAAACTTGGCACAGTTGTTGGCCTTGGTACAGCATACTAAATGGCCGAAAAGTTTTAAAATCGGATAATAACCACGCCCACATCCCATATAAGGGTAATTTAGAAAAATACGAAATCCTCGATAAATCAGTAAATATTAAAGCTAATTTATTCAAACTTGATGGTTGCAACAATTTTTTACTAAGAAATACGCCTATGATACAATTTTGTAAAAGGGCGTGGCACCGCCCACTTATGATCACATATATGTATCTCGCTA